AGGTATTATTTTTTATTGACATTAGGCCTAGCAATAAAAAATGTATATTACATTTTATTTATTGACATTAGGCCTAGCAATAAAAAAAATACAGTTAAAAACAAAAGAACTCAAGGAATGACAATGAAGGTGGTGGTTTAATGGGGGAAATTGTGCCGGGCGGAGTGCACGGGAAAGGCGTGGGGGTGAAATTGAAATGCAAGAGTATGACTAGCTTTCACTCATATTTTAATGACCAGTAAACCATTTTTGTTTTCAAACTATAATTAGCTTTTTTATTATGACAGACCTTTTTAGTTCCTATGCATGTAATGCAATAACTATTGTAATCACTTTCACTGTTTTTTCTTTGTGTTTTATAGTGTGTAGTATGTGTGTGCGTATGTGTGTAGACATTTATGCAAATGCGCACGCGTCAAAGAAAAGTTTTCCGACATTTTGTTTTACTTCGCGATGCGAAGTTCGATGTGAAGTTTCTGCAGTGTTCAGTCAGGGCTCACGCTAACCGGTCAAATTATAACAAAAAGGTTTTAATACGTGCTGAAATACATGGTTTTTTTCATTTAGATCTCCATTTTTCACTCCATGCGACGTCTTTTTCTGTTGTACGAGTAGTCTATAGAGCTATTAAACAACTAGAGTGTTGACAAGATGGCGCAGCAATGCAGAATTATGTATGTGTACCATCCAAGATGGCCGTCGTACTAAAGCGCCACCTTCAGGCTTAGTATATTATTACATATTAATAAGCCCTCTGACTGACTATTATTTCAATAATGATAATGAGTAATGGTAATAACAAATTATTAAACTATTGTAGCCAAAATGAGGCCAAGTGGAGCATCTTATTCAAAAATAAAGTACCAAGGAATGAAAATTAAAATCGTGTACATTACACCCAAACACCGCATACGGGTAACCAGCTGTACTGAACCCTCTGAGTAAATTGAGGGCGCAATTGCAAACTTTGGTGCTTAGCGAAATTTGATTGGCTAAATCTATGGCAGCTATCTTGGATGGTACCCACACGGTTCTGCATATTTCGAACATCGAATACATTGCGGTTAGTGCTCTAGTATTCTTATTATTATCTCTATGGAGTAGTCATATGAAGGTACTACCATATCCCCGACAGTTGGATATGCAGCAATGTACCCTTTGAATACAAATTGAAGACAAGTGAATATATAAAGGCAACCGACTGTCGGGTACATAAGGACTATCTAACTTTCCACAAAAACATTAGGCCTAAGCTAGGCCTAGTTCAGTACAGTAGTTACTGCGATGCGAGGGTGGTAGATCGTTCAGTCAGTGATATCGTGTTATCGTCTAATACATTTTAATAATGTGTGTACAATTTAAGAATGCACCGCGTGGGTCGCTTTCTCTGTTATGCGGTACTACAGTAGTATACGTAGCAGAGTGACGGCAGCAATCTAAGCCTAGCCTAGGGCCTAGATAGTATATGTTCTTGATCATCGTAATGAAAACTTCGGGTGACAGACGATTGGGCCCAACTGGTGTGGACGATCGGACCCAAGATAGCTTCAAATAAATTGTAGTCCAGTAGTAGGCCACTGCCACCACCCCCACTCCTGATATCGTTCCCAACTACTGTAAAATGAAATTACTATACTCTATACCTAGCTAGGCCCTATGCCTACAAAATTTTTTCAAAGAAATTTGCTAAAAATATTACTGTAATTTGCCTGTCAAATTACATTACTAAAATCACTATTTTGGGCCATAAAAACTCCCCCTGTATTTTTCAACCTCCACACAAATTTGACCCAGCATATATAAATAAAGACGTTTTTCAGCCTAGGCCTAGCATCTTTGACGTTGGTAAATAATTGCTGTGGTCAGCAAAAATTGCGTCGGCATTTTGAGTGCTGTGGAGGTGAATTATTTTGAAATGTAAGGTGAGCTATTTTTCACACCCCTCGATGGCAGTTTAGGTGCGTGATGGTGCACGTGCACGATCGCGCGCCTTAAATGACAAATGTCTGCAGTACTATTCCACCATAATTTTTACCACCATCGTTTTTCCTTCACTATCATATATTTTCAAATTTGTCATTGCAACCAACATTACATCATATAATTCGATGTTGCGTTATTGACGTTCCAGATCGTACCATCCTAATATAGTCCGAACTCCCTAATGAATAATGAGTATGATGATAGTTCTATATAAAATGATTCAGTGACAAATTAGATTACATTATACAAATTTCATTTTTTTGCAGGGATTTTTCCGCCGAACTCATCGTATGAAACTTGTGTACAAGCAGTGCCCCTTTTACAAGTCTGAACCATGTAAAATAAATGTAGCGACACGTAACAAGTGCCAATATTGTCGCTTTCAGAAATGTCTGACTGTTGGCATGTCACATGATGGTATGTTGAACTGTTTTTTGATTATATGTTTTTTAAAAGCATACTACAGTATATTGTTATAACTATGATATGTGTGGATTTTGTCCATGCAGCTTTCATATTTTTGGCACAACAAAATAAAAGATAACCAGCATCCTGATTTCCAATGCATTTCTTATACTTTATGAATCTTCTGCCTACCAGATAGGCCAATGTAAATATTGCAAGGGGTCTATAAGGCTGTCAGTTAGAGATGCTGGTCACACTGTTTGAGTTGTCCTTGAACAAGACTTACGTTTTTGAGTTGAATACTATTTAATAAAATATAATGCTTTTATTTTTTCTTTTGAGAGGTTTCGCACGCGAACGAATACATGTACGCATACGTTTAGCTATCCGTAGCGGTTCGTAGCCATTCTGTGTTTTTCGCAATCACAGCGCAATTTAGTCGTGGCCAGGGCCTTAGCTTAGGCCTACTGTACTCACTCTTCTCTCATCATGCTTCTGAAAGTTTTATTAGTATTAAAAAAAAAAAAAGTTTTGGAAATTGAAAATTGTTAGCCGAAAAATACTTCCTTTGTTGCCCAGAAGTGTTGGTTATTTTGTGATAGGCCCTATTGATTATGACCCAAAAGTGCCTGGCTACAAGTAGGCCTAGGCCTACACAAAATCCTGACACCACCAAGTTCAAAGCACCAACATTTTGATACCCCAAAATGAGATGCATCCTATCGTAATTTTCTGTCTTCAAATGTCACAAAAATGACACATACGTATTCAAAGATACATTTATTTTTGACACTTACGTAAAAACGAACGTCCTACTAGAAATCTAAAATTTCCCTACGCGTTTTCACGTTTGGCAGATAGCAGTCGGCGTATGACGTCAAAATGATGACGTATCCGTTACACTAATCTACGCGTTTGCGTGCGAAACCTCCCTTTTGTTGAGGCAAACATCTCTGATTGGGGTGGGGGGGGGGCTTCTATGGCAGTACAAATATGTATCCATTTCTTTTGTACAAGCCATCTAGCAGAGGTCCAGTAATACTCCAAAATGTTGGTGGATGGTTGCCCCATTGAGTTTTGCACAGATTTGTATTTTGTCAACTTTTTTATTATCATGAATACAAAAAGAAAAAGATTGCGTTTGTATTCATGTGTATTTCATGTTTAGAGCTAAGAATTGCAGAAACGGAGTTAATTCTTTTTTTTTGTCAACCAGACGTTGGTTACCATTCATTACACCTGAATGACTTCATAATCTTAATGGTTTAGAATAGGCTTTCTGGAATAGGCATTTTAAAACCTAATAATTTACCATCAAAATGTACTAAAAACACAAAAGCTCGCTTTATATTAGTTATCGAACACACATTTAATCATCAATTAAAATTTACAAAGAAAAACTAAGATACAACATCTTAATAATTACGTTAGAAATTGGGATCAATGGTTTGTCAGTGGAGAAAATGGCGTCAGGTTGAACGCATTTTGTGTCGCCGAAATCAACAGAGTAGTATCACATGGTATCGTGACGTAACTGTAGTACTTTATGTTGTCTATGTCTGGAAAGCTCATTTCTGGCCATCTAAGAATCCAATTTTCTTGCAGACTCCCCTTCGTTTTTTTAGTTCTTTTAAAAATCTAGAAACCCTCTGCTTCAAATCCTGGATCCATTCCTGAATATGTTGTATAAAAAAACTAGTCATGAAGGCTGTGCATCTAGAGACCCTTATTATGTCAGATTCATAAGCTAGACCTGAGCAAACATTGTATTTTATTTGAATATTATTAATAACATAGCATTTTAGTGCTAAAATCTGTATCTGAATTTTGAAAATCGATGATGAAAGTATTCTCAGACAATAAACGCAAGATTCTGATACATTATAATAATAGATTTCTGTTAATTTTAATCTAATTGTGAAAACTAATTACACTTTTTTTTTTATAAGAACACATTTTATATGAACACTACAAGGCTGAAATTGCTTAAAAATTAAGAACAAATTGAGGCTGAGGTAAAATGTCAAATGAGATTTTTATTTTTAAAAAAAAACTAGAAAAACCAGAAAATTCCTTATTGCAGTATGTGTGACTATGTTATACCCTCAATAATGCAGTACAGTAGGTGTACCTACCTGTCATTTGGGGTCATTTTTACTGGGGCCTTTTTTCTGTGGCCATTTTTTAGGGCCTTTTATTTAGGGACCATTTTTACCAGGGCCACCTTTACCTACTTCCAGTACAGTGTATAATGCTGTACAATAATAATTTTGTTATGTAAGTGTGTAACTTAAGAACAAAATAAGAACATTTTGAGCCTGAAATCGGACAAAAAATAAGAACACTGAGTCTGGGCAAAATTTTACTGGTTCTTATAAAAAACAAAGTGTATGTTACAATTACCTCATTCTCGTTAAATGAAGCAATTGATTGTTAATAAGTAGGTGGTATTTTTTGTTGAACTTCACTGTGAATTAATGAATTTATTAATAATATTCATACAGTGTCTTAGCAGCAGATTTAAGTTGTGGTTGAGGTAGATTGCAGGTGAAAGAGCAAGGCAATGAACTCGTTATTGCAGAATAAACACTGATATACCTGCACTTTAACATACTCACTTCCCAACTGTTTTTGTTGTTGTACTTTCACTTCTCTTGCTGGACTTGATTAATGTCTTGTTTTATTGCGACTTAACTTATCATACCATATTCTGTATATATTCTGATTTACTTTGTTGTAATTAAACACTGTGGAATGATAAACTATCTGGAAGAAAGAACAGGAAGAATTTTAGTTGCTTAATGAAGATGCTTCAAACCTGCAGGATGAACTGTTACCCACTAAACTGGTTTATAGTGAAAAGGTGGTATGCAGATTTTAATTGCTGAGGTTGTTTAAAGTAAGATGAGTATGGGCCATGATTTGCCTATTTTCTGCTTAGGCCCTTGCAGGTCAAAGGTATCACAATCCATCATGGTTGTTTACAGACTGTCGTAGTATATCCATATTCATCATAAACCTAACACAGAATTCAGAAACACAGTCAACAGAATGGTTTACAGTTGTGTTTTAATTGTTTTCTAGACGTGTTATATATAGAGGAGTGCTAGTGCAACTGTGACAAAAATTTGTTTTTCGTATGATTGTAAAACACCAATACCAAGGACAGTCAATGTATCAAGTCTCTGTTGCTTGATGACCTGTGATCGTTGAAACTTGGTTGAAGTCTTCAGTTGGAGATGTTATAAAGGGGACTTTTAGGAACCAAACTCTTACAATAGGATTCATCAGTTACTACTTACAAAGGAAGCATCAATCCTCAAATTACTCCTGCAACGAAAGACTTTTTGAATCAACTTACAAATATTTTTTTTTTTTTATTCCAAAGATGTGCATAAGTTTCTGACAGGAATTCTGCTGTTTTTTCAGTTACTTGATTCCAGAAATTAAGGACAAGCTGATATATTTTTTCGAACCAACAACTTCTTCAAATGTTCACCCAAGGACTTTCATCTACCCATTGAGCAAGTATGCTAGGTATCATCTAAAAACCTGTGGCTATTGATAATTTCTCTTCAAAGTACTATTCCCATGAGTCTGCCTTCTGATTGTTTATAACTTTTTCATTTTAATATTTCATGAGATTCATTTTATGAGGTTAACTGCTGCAAATGCATGTTTGTGTGGTCTTTGATGCCCACTTGTCTCATAAAACACCAGAGGAGGTTTGGTAATGCAGTTAAAGGGCTTTACATTCATAGTAAATTAATTATATATAGTTTAAGGTGAAGATTATATAAAACTATAATAAGAATGTTACTTGTAGATTACATCATAATTTATAATTTGAAATATTGATTGATTCATTCACTTTTTGATTCATCCATGAAGTTATTGAATAATAATAATGAAGAAATAAGTAGACATTTAAACATAAATTTTAGAAATTTAAGTAATCCGTATTAAATATTTATCATTATCAGGTGACAAAAACTGATTTTGGTTTACGTCAGAGGTTTAATATCAGCTTATCACAAAGTTTATAATTTGAAGTTAAAGCCATCAATCAAACAACATATATTGGGAACATTGTGCACATTGTGAAGTCATAAATTGAGTGTAGTTCATCTTTTGTGCTCCTGAACATTGAAACTTGAACCATTGGGGTCAGCATGCTTGCTCTCATTTCCTCCATGGTCAGATAAATTTACCTTGTCTTTCAAAGTGACTATTAGTTTACTATTCAAATATTTACCAATAAGCGCAAAATTTCTCAACAAGCAGGAAACAAGCTGAGTTTTCAGAAATAATTGTAGCAAACAGTAATGCTGTACATGTGTCCAGTGAGTCCTTTGCACTGTATCATAGACGCTGACATCTTGTCATAGACTTTTTGGTGACAAAAACCACATTTTTTGTACATGACATTCTTATATAGCGTTATTATTTTTGCCATGTAATTAGTGATGGATTTTGAATGAACAGAAAAATTGGTTTGAATATAGGAATCGCTTTAACAAGTTGTGTAATTGGTTCCTCTATCTGGAGAGTGTAGAACAGTGGACCATATTCAGTGTTACTTATAATTGAATGCATGACCTCGTGATGTGTGACCTGTTTCAAGGAGTAAACATCCAGGCTACAAAGTTCATCATATCTCATATCAGTCTGTAAATTAATAAAACACACAAAGCCCGACTAATTGATCACTTCAACCAGAAAAACCTCATTCATTATAGTTGTGTTAACTGGCCAAACTGTACTGTATACCCAGAGAATCCAGCAGTATCCAGTCAACAGACTTTTTTGCAACCACGGCCTACTCCCAACATCATGACAATTTTAAATGCGTCTTCTAGTTTGAACAAGCTTATTGGTGAAGGTTAGCATTATATCAATGAACGGATTTATTTTGGTGGTTTACAATGTATGGTGTTTCTGTTTTTTCATATAAAAAGTTTTCTCTTTGTGTTGCTTCAAAAATGTATTTCTTTGTTATTTCATTTAATGATAGGTTGAGTTTGTCCTTCTGTATAATTTTATACTGTATTATATCTTTCTGTTTGTTACAATTTTTTGTATGTTTGTCAAGTTATGTTAATTCTTGAAATCATTCAGTAGTATTTTTAAGATCATGATTATTTATTTATTTTATATATATATTTGTTCTTGTATGACACATTTTATTAACATTGTGTGAAGAGTTTGCTTAGAATATTAAACTGGTTTTGTTTGTTTGCTAGCTTCAAGATTTGGTCGGATGCCAAGGGAGGAGCGTCTGAAGCTGATGGAGGAATTGAACCAAGAGGAAAACCTCGCCACAGAGGAAGACAAGAAGAAAATTGAGCTAAGATCAATTACTGATAGGATTCATGAAGCCTTTAAAGAAATCTGGGTTGAAAGGTTTGCTCCATTACCAACAGGCAGAACAACCAAATTCAAAATAGAAGAGGTACGTACGTAGCTAATTATGTCAAAAGTAAATTAGTATTGATGAATATCGGATATAAACTGCAGCGTGCACCTGAAAAGCTGATCGATATGGAATATATACATTTGATACTCATCAAATAAATATGTAGGCTAAATATTGAAGGGCTGAAATATAAAACTAATCATAACAATCTTGAGGGTTGCTCTTTCAAAGTTTCAGCATAGGCCTATCTGAAGCATGCAATAACTACAGTAGAATGTATGTGCAGTAATTTTGGTTTGACGGTAATGTAATCTGAGCTGACCATTTGGCTGGGATAATGTTCCTGCTTCTTGCGTCATAGACCCCTGTTCATGCCCATACAGCTTCAATTTTTGATTTCGAGCCTGATAGCTTGCCTCCTTGGTTAACCCTTAAAGGCAATTTTAGTTGAAGAGTGCAGATGTAGAATAGGACTGATAATGATGATTTTTTTCATCTTAAAATCTTACAAAAAATAAGTATAATTTGCTCATTAGTTTTAGTTATGTTAAAGTATGAGATTGTTGGATTCACACCATTCAATTATGTATTTCTGTTCATTGTTACCATAAATGAGTCCAACAATGGTCATGACACAAACTGACCAATGTTACCACATGGGCATTCCTATCATAAGTTCCAGGCTATACTGTAGCTTTGGTATCTCAGTGAATTTTTGGAAAATATAATCTTTTTATTGCGCTCAATGCACCAGTGGCGTATCTAGAGGTCTTGAAATGGGGGAGGGGCTGATGGAGGCACGAAGGTGAAGTGGGGGGCCTCAATCAGTTGAGAGGGGCGCTAATTCGCATATGGTGATTTTAGGTCATTTTTAACTACTTGACCATGATTTTTGGGGGGTGACTAGGGGGCGCGAGTAATTTTCTGCGCCCTCCCCTAGATACGCCACTGCAATACACGCCATACCAAATTTTGCGTCCCATATGTTTTTGAATTTAAGGCCTGGGCAAATGGTGAAAGATCATTTGACGTACTATTTCACGCATCAAATTTGATGTGCGATATCATGTATGACTGATTGGGTCATGTGATTGGGTAACTTCATGCATAATAATCTTGGTAAGTTTGGTGTTGGTAGATCTTGACTAGGCCTAGTCCTACCTTGGCTACCTCCTTGAATAGAAAAAGTTAGTATTGTTTGTGGTCTGAACAACATGTAATGGACTGACAACTGTTTAACTAAGTTACAGAAGCTCTCTCTGCTCAGCGCTAAAGCTAGACTGATCTAGGCTTAGGATAAAAAATTAAAAAGGTAGGCCTACACCTAGTGTGCAAATGTGTTCATACCTAGCGTGACCCAGTTTGGGCTTGAGCCACGTATGGTGTCTCAAGTGTGATGCAGTGGTCCCAAGTTGAAGAACTCCATTCGCAGGAGATTTTGTCGGGAACCTTTGGCCGCCTGCAAATACAACGCGCGTCGAGTTGCAGCCAATACTAAACTACTCATAATATCAAATACTTGACATTCAATGATCACAACACACAGTTAACTTGCTCTTCCTTTCATTTTTATTTACACAATGTAAATTACCATGAAATTACATAAATTCTGGAATCTACTAATCTGTACAGTAGGCTTAGTCTAATATTGTACATTATTCATTTATTTACACTTAGGCCTACTACATCAATATCACAATTTACAGTTCTTTCTTGCATCTGTTAGTTTAATATTGTATTCAACAGTAGTAGTAGTCTAGTAGCTTCTTTGCTGCTAAGAGAAGAGCGGAATTTGGATGCAGTTCAATCATAGCAAACAAGTCTGTAAACATAAAAAAAAAATAACTAAAATATTAGGCACGATCGACAAATTATTAAAAACGACAAGAACGTGTTCAGCTAAACGGTGCTCAGCTAAACGGTGCTCAGCTAAACGGTGCTCAGCTAAACGGTGCTATGCCAAACGCGTCTGGCAAATCAATCGTCCTAATTAAAACAACTTTATGAATATTCATTAGCTAAGCTCCACCATTCACGAGACGCGTCTGAACGGTTCGAACCGTCCAGACGCGTCTGAACGGTTTGCAGAGGCTTTTGTTATTGTTCATAGCCCATCGTTCGAACCATCCAGACGCGTCTGAACCTTTTGCGGAAGCTTTTGTTATTGTTCATAGCCTATCGTTCAGACGTGTTATTTTACGTTCCTATTATTTACTACAGTATGTTTTAATGCTATTGCGGGTATCGTTGAGATGCTGTCCGTTTGAACTACAGTTGGCAGAAGACACAAACAAAAATGACGATCTATTTTTATTGAGTTCCATAGTGTAGTAGGCCTAGGTTAGGCATAGGGCCTACTATCTCACATAATCCTACTAGGCCTAATAATATTTAATAGGCTAGCCTAGACTAGGGACTAAAATATAGGCCAGGCCTAGGGTTATATGAAAATAAAGGTAAAAATAATTCAAAAATAATAGCCTGTAGACCTAGGCTTACATCTTGACTGTTAAGGCCTTATTTGGCAGGAAGTAATTGTATGTGGTGTAGACCTCCCCGATGCCTAGGCCTAGGCCTAGACAGTTTAAACTTTGACCAGAATACTTCAAAAATGTACTTGTTCCTATGGCTTGGATGCTTTGCCTTTATACGCCGCTGTGTGTGAAATGTTGGAAGTATGCCAACTGATACTAAAAATAGCACATACTAAAAATACCTATGGGTATGCGTACGATGTTCAATTTAATCATCGGAGAAAATTTGATGATAGGTCTGAATGATGTTTTTTGTTTTATTTTTATAGAGTAGGCATGCCTATGTTTATAAGTTATTGCAGCCGTGTAATCAGCTAAAAATAAATCACTTGCAATAAATTGATATGACATGGATTGACTCTTCTTTCGTAAATTTGTGATGAAATTTAAATAAATGTTTTCTTTTGCTATTGTTTTTTTAATTTTATATAGGTCTAGTATTAATATTATTTTTTTGCAGCCAGAATTACATATTTTACATGTACACTATATTTTACATCTACCATGGAAACATCCATATCCTTTCCAGAACCTATTGGCATTTTTATTAAATACATGAATCAGTTTTATTGTCATTCGTTGTAAATTTCAAATATGTGTTAAACATAAACTGCCTAAAAATAAAAATAATAAATATAATCAGGGGTGGATCCAGTAGGCGTATGTGGGCAATACCTGTGTTGTTTGTCGCTTATCTATTCTGAAACTGTAGTGCCCCATTCTTGCCCTTTCTTGCCCCCTTCTCACCCCCTTCCGTTTAAAAAAAATTCTGGATCCGTCCCAGATAAAAAATAAATAAATAAAAATAACTTTATTAACAACATAAACGAATCTATACATTCAGTATATATTTTATTTGTCATTCATTTCAATATAAATATACAGACAATATCTCACAGGTAATAATAATAATAATAATGGAAACCACAAACAGGATACAAAATTAAAGTAAAGCATAATTTAAATCAAATAAAAACTGGTATATTTATCATCTTGGTATTTTTATTCACTTAATAAAATATATATAGGCCTGTATAAAATAATACATTGTAGTTGAGAAACTAAAAACGTTTTTAAGATGAAAATCAAACAATAGGATATAATGATGAGTTGGCCTAGGATACAAAATTAGGATACAAAATTAAAGTAAAGCTTAATTTAGATTAAATAAACACTGGTATATTTATCATCTTGGTATCTTTATTCACATAATAATAAAAAATATATATATATATATATATAGGCCTACATAATAAAACATTGTAGTAGTTGAGGAACTGAATTTTTTTAAGATGAAAATAATCCCACTACAAATTTAAAAACATGGAATTATTAGGGAAAATGTACAAATGAAGAATTGATTTTGTCGACGCGACAGTGTACTAGAAAATAGGAGACAAGCATTCTGATTGCCAATCTTATAATAATATGCGCGTATCGAAAACTAATTCGATGCGCGTCTAGTAAAGGGTGGGTCAGTCACTAAAAATAGACAGTTAAGAATGTTGCATTCACAACCAGTCTATTTATAGTGACAGTCAAGGGAGGTCATATATACTAAAAATAGACTGTTGATAACTGTGTGAAAATTCTTAGCCAAAAACGGAGACCCGAGTGAAAAAATCTCAGGCAAGAAGATGTAAGTAGGCCTACTACTGTGTTAGCGATGTTCTTAAAATTTGCAGAAAATGGTGTGGTCTAAATGTTTCCGATTATGAATTAGTTGTATGACCAGACTTAATTTGACCGGCATTTGCGGTAGATTTAAACTTGTATGCAAGACGTTCGCAAAGCGGGTACCGTACTCGCGCGAATAAGCGCCCGGGCGCTTAAAATATTTTTTGCACTTTTTGAGGGGCGCTTATTCAAACGGGGCGCTTATAAAAACAGAGTGAAAATTGAGGGGGCGCTTATGCAAATAGATGAAAATCGAGGGGTTCTTATGAGAACTTATTAAATCCAAGAGGCACATTTTGAATGAAAAACGATTAAATAAGGACATCAGGAAACCGCAAATTACGAATGCTGCTGAGGCGGAAAAGATAATCGTCCAGAGAGCATGGCTTGTCATGACAAGAATGTTGTGAGTACAGTATACATAACAGCAGAATAGCAGATGAAATTAGTGGTGATGGTTAGCTTGTTCGCCATTGGTCGATTGAGAATAGCAGGACGGCATGATCATTGCAGGTTTTCTTGAAAACTTAGATGAGAATGTGTTAAAGGTGCAAATTGTCGGAAAAGGAGTAGTATAACTAGGCTATAGACAAATGAAAGAAGATGAAAGTTGGAAATAAACTGTCTGTCCAGGGAGCTCTCATCATTCTGTCAAAGATAAATATCCTCACTTTGATATTGACTAACGGAGAATGTGATTCCACTCCACACCTCAATTCATGCCAACATCCACAGTCCCAGGATTGATTGGGTTATTGAGGGGGCGTTTATTCAAATTAGAATGGGGGCGCTTATTCAAACGGGGCCCTTAAGGAAATTTTCTCG